ATTTGTGGACTGTTAAAGTTATGGAGGTGAATTCAGGTGGCACCTGTTGTAATCCACTGAAATTAGCCAGACTTATCAGTGTCCACACTGATTTTTTAAAATTCATGAATTATATGTGATTGTACTAGTTTCATATCACTGCATAACAAATTATCAAATAAGTAGAAGCTTAAAACTACACACACTTATTATCTCACTGCTTCTGTGGGTCAGATATACAGGCATGATTTAGCTGGGTCTTTTGTTCTGGGTCTCAAGACCGTGCTATAATCCTGTCTGCAGTCGAGAGAGAGAATCTACCTTCCAAGCTCACTTGGATTGTTGGCAGAAATCGTTGTGGAGGAACTGAGTACTTTGGTTTAAGGTTGCCTGTTTTAAGGTTTGCCCCTTTGGTTTAAGGTTGCCTGGTTTAAGGTTTGCCCCTAGAGCCTGCTTGTCATCCATTGTCACAGAGGCTTCTCATTGTGGCCACTTACTTTCATTAAGTTAATAGGGGGATTTCTGGTGTGTCTCTTACCAAGATAGTATCTTACATATCTATTTTTTTAGAAAGAAATCTCATGTCCCATCCACATATAAGGGGAGGGAATTACATAAAGATTTGCATCACCAGGAGACAGGGATCAAGAGTCTCCTTGGGATTTGTCCAGTCCAGTGTCATTTTGAGCAAAAGAACCACCTGGAAGTCTGTTCAGAATTAATGTGTGCAAGCTAACCTATTAAAGCTTCTATCTTTCATTCTTTTGTAAATGAGGACAGGCAAAAGTAAACTTGTGGCCCACCCTGGTGGCGCAGCGGGTTAAAGCACAGCACTGAGAAGCTAAAGCCACTTCTGCATGAGTTCGATCCCCGCCTGCCCCAGAGGTGACCACATGGCGCGGCAGACCTCTCCTGGCCCACCCGCTGCTCCCCTCAGCAGTGTACTTCATCGATCTGTCTGTTCTACACCCCACTCTGTCTCTGGTGAATCCTCTCACCCTCCGCATCTCTGGCCTGTACCCCAGTTCTGTACGAATAAATAAATATTAAAAAAAAAAAAGTAAACTTGCTGCTTTATTTAATGGAAGTTGACTGGAAAGAAGAGAGAGAGGTCAGAAGGTTTTAAAGAACAATAACATGAAAAGGGAATATTCCCAAATCTCACATGAAAAAAAATTAAATGATAGATTAAGCTAATCCTGAGTGTTCCCTGGTCACTTTGGAGACCTGAGAGCAGTTTGAGGTAAAGTTCCTGTTTAACTAAATGTGCCTTAGGGTATATATATATTTTTGATCATTGTACCAAATGAGGGTAAATTTTTAATGGACATGAATATGTGTATGTGTGCTTTCTGTCAGTAAGTCAGAAATGTTACTTTGCATAAAATGAACAAAATCCTACTTCATCTTCTTAATCCCATCTCAGGTCCTGGAAGATACTGTGGCCTCCTTGATTATTAAAACGTTTGAGAATCAGCACACTTGAATTGTGGTTTAGGCTTTACTTTACCTTTTTTTTTTTTTTTATTTAAAGGCAGGTTCTGTTGCCACATTTTTTAAAAAAAGATTTATTTATTTATGCATACAGTACTAGGCTACAAGCCAGAGGTGCAGAGGCAGTGAGAGACTTCACTAGAGACAGACTGGGGAGCAGAACAGGCAGATTGAAAAGTACACTGCTGAGAGGAGCAGTGGGCAGGACAGGAGAGATCTGCAGTGCCATGTGGGACACCTCTCTGGCCGGGGATCAAACTCGTGAAGTGGCTGCTTCTGGTGTCATAGTGCTGTGCTTTAACCCGCTGTGTCACCAGGGAGGGCCCCCCTTACTCTGCTATAACAAAGGTGTTTTCCAGGAGTGTAATTTGGGAGATTGCTTGAATGTGGGAGATTGTTACAGAAATGTGGGAGAAGATTATTACAGAAATGTGGCTGATTGCTCACAGACAGAGCCTCACTGGGCCATTCCATATGATTCCTCGGTAGCTTTCTGACATTCTAGTTCTCTCCTTACAGAAGTGATTCTTCACTTTCCACAGTTCATCTGTTGTTCATGCTCTTATTGATCCTCTTATGTGATTCATAGAGGTTATTTAATTTGCAATTCTTGTATACACCCTCCTAGTTTATTTCTTGTGAGATCCTTACTTCTTCTTTCCCATTTACTCATTACTTAAATGAGAAGACTATGCCAAACTAAAGTATCTTCAGGTGCTTCATGTTGCAGTCTGAAGCTGCCCTTGAACTGATGCAATATTCTTGGAGCACTGACTTGTTAGCAGTACCCAGTTGGATCGAAACATTCATTAATTTTTTTCCCTCTGGATTGAGATGAGCCATTAGTAAAATTTTATGAATGCTTTTTTCACAAAGCAACATCAGGCTCAGTGCTCCTTGGTTTTCAGGCAGTCTGCGTGCAGTTTGCAGCCCTCCTTACTCAATGCAGTCATCTTTTATAGATTCCCCCTTCTTTCTGGGTGGCATCCTGTCTTTTCACCCCAATGAGAAGATCACAGTGGGTTTAGTATTAAAGGTCAGAGTCAAAAGGCTTCCATCTTTTTCTAGATCTTGAAACTTTCATCTTCTTGTATTTATTTATAGTTTCTCCTTTTCTAATGTAAGGTTACTGTTTCCAAGTAAAACCGAGGAATCTCATAAAAAGTTCTTTTTTTTCTTCATTTATCAATTAATTATTGAGTCTTTTGACCCCCAAGGGCCTGTAACTGTCAGTAGAAAATGTTCCCCTTCCACTGCTTTATGCTTTCATTATTGGGGAGTTGACAGCAGGGTACTAATACACCTCAAGGCAATTCTTTTCCTTCTTTCTTTAAGGAATGCAGTTCATTGTGTCTTATGTTTAGTTTGTTCACAGAGACTTACTGAAAAGTATATAGCTATGGATGTTCACAACTACAGAGTAATATAGCACAGACTTTGTTTTGCAACTTTATAAAAAAGATGGAGAATGTAGGGTCATTTAATGGTGTGAAGAAAGGAATTTAGGCATCTCAGCATTAGACACCTCAGTTATGGTCTTAAGATGGTTTGTTTGATTTTTTTCCTTTTTAAAAATTTCGCTCCTTTTACTGACTAGAATAGCAGTATATTCCACATGGAATATAAAAATATCAACATTTCATTTTAAAATTTTCTTTACTTTTTTTATTTAGGCAACATTGTTTTACAACACTGTCTATGATTCAGAGGCATAGGATCACACCTCAGATGCGTGTCTTCACACCACACTTACCACCTATCACCAAGGTACCCACAGCCCTCCTCCATAGTCCATCGGACCCCTTCCTCACATTGTTTATGATACTTATTTTTTAAGATAGCCAAGCAGATTTCTCCAGTCAACTGTCTCCTCTCTTGCCTGGTAGTCCTAGACTGACTGCTCCTTCTGTGTCTTTGTCTGCCTCTCAGGAAGTCAAGCTGTAGGCATTGACTGAGTGCTTTATAGCATTCCACACTCTTGTGATTACCAAAGAGAGACCACAAGTCTGTCAATTCATTGAAGAGTATGTGGGGGAGTATGTGGGAGTTTTGGAGAGGATGCCCATTACCTAGGAGGATGGAATTGGTGTACCTTCCACATCTGGATCTTTGTCAAGGGTCTACACCTCAAGCATCTTCCCTCCTCAACTGTTGCAGCTGCTGGGAAAGTCTAGGCTCTCCTTTGACACCTCAAACCAGGTCCTTCCTCTTCTACATTGTCCTTCTGTTCTTTCTTTTGCTCCCTTTGGCCTGGTTAATGCCTATTTATTCTTGGGGGCCTAGATTATATTTTTCCTTCTCCTGGGCCTCTACCCTAACCACTAGCCTTTTATGTGTTTTCATAAAATACCCCCCACAGGATCTATTTATGCATTTAGAACTTTGTGATAATTGCTTGTCTATATATGTTTCCAAATCAGACTGTAACCTTCTAGCGGGTTGGAGATATGTCTGGTCCATGCATTCATTCTTTGTCCATGGTCTCATTCATAAATAGTGGAATAATTGTTAAATAAGTGAATTTGGGATCTCTTTCATATTGGTAGATATGCTTTCTAGGTTGAGCCTGGAACAAATGCTAATGTATTTTCCCCTAATGACATTAAAGTCCTACTTCTAGTGTCCTTCATTCTAAAACTGAACTGGATATGATCCCTATCCACAAACAAATTCAATAAAGAAATGTGAATATGTGTGCAAAAAGCCCTTTGGCCAGTTGTTTTGGTTTAGTGCAATACCTAGCTATCAGAAAGACTTACTTAAAATATTAAAATTTACATAAATACATACTGTATATGTATACATGTATGTTACATTTACCACCTGTATAAAAATGTATAAATGAGCCTTATCATACAACCAGACAAACCAGATGGTTGATGTGAACAGAATAGCAGGAAGGTTTCTGACAGTGCACATTCATTTTTACTGAGATTTCATTGAATTCAGTTCTTTTAATGAGCAGTATAATGGCCTTTTGAGTAAACTTCAAAAAACTTTTAATAATATATATTAGCTTTTGTCAGTTGCTTCTTTCTTCTTTAAGTAACTATTATTATGATCTTTAGTAACTTCTATATGGTTATTTTCCATTTTTTCTATGGGTGAATTACTGCTTGTTATTTCATCAAGCACACTTATGTGTGGATCCTACAAAATATAAAGGGCATCTTCTTTTTCTTTTGACTTCAGTTTAGAAATCAACTTAAACTAGGCTCAGTGGTTCTGAATTGTTCACAAAAATAGTTGAGATGAAAATCATTCATACTAACAGTTTGGGGAAACAAAATACAAAGACTGTACTTTTTTTTTCTTTTATGTAGTTGCTTTTTTTTTTTTTTTTTAAGATATAGAACTTGCACCTAGTTGTCTGAGGCTCTGTGATTCTGAAGCATTTTAATGAGAATTTGTTATGGTGCTAAGAATTATCATCATTAAAAGCAAATGATTTCACCAGAAAAAAAGAGTTGTTTTTACTAACATAAGCATTCCTTGTTCATCTCCCTCCCTCTTTTTTTTTCTTTCAGTGAGCATGTTTTTGAATACATTAACACCGAAGTTCTACGTGGCCCTGACAGGCACTTCCTCACTAATATCAGGTCTTATTTTGGTAAGTGGTGGTGTCCTTCCTAATTGACAGCATGCTGATTACTAATATATTTATTACTATATGTGTGAAGAAGCCAAAGAGAAAGGTATCTGAGTTGAACTGAAGAGTTAGGCTGTTCCTTCCACAGAAGCACACTTTATGAAGCAGCAGGTATTACTGATTCATGTGAAACTTTGAGCAGAGGAAAACCTCTGATATAAGAAGACCTTGAAAGATATTTCTCCAAAAAACTTGGTCTGTTTCGAGGCAAAGTAACAACAATGTGATATGCAGCCTTTTAGTATGTTTCCCTAATCCAGTAGCCAGAGATGAAGAGATGAAGCATTACATTAAAAATAACATCTTGATATTATCTTTAACAGATTTGAAATATTTTATTGATTAAACAAATAGGAAAGCAAGTAAATTTTTTGGGTATATAATTTGAATAGCAATTTCATATTGAAACACTGACACATAGACTGGTTTTCCTTTGTGCATTCCTCTCAGGCAGGTTCTCTTAGGAACATTACCCACTAAGATGTTTAGTGTGCCACACACTGATCTAGGGACTTTACATGCTAACTTGTCAATTCCATACAATGGTTTAATGACCTTTTTTTTTAAAGTGTTATTTTTATTTTTCATACACATAAGCTGGAAAGGTAGAATAGGCAAGTAAGTAATCTGCCATAGTTTACGTAACTGTCAAATGAAGCAGGATTTCAGTCTAAGCAGTTTTGTACCAGAACCTGTGTTTTTATTTCACTGCCTCTTTAATTATGTTCTCAGCTACTTTTCTAGCTACCTAAACAAACACCAGGTCTATATTTTTATTTTAGTGGTATCTTGGTATGTCTTCACTGGGTTACATTTATTACCAATGTGGAGGTTCTTTTTTCCACTCTAGCAAGCGAGACCCAACAATCATTTTCCCTTCTAACTTAAGGTCTCAGTAGCTTCCTTCTCTTGACCTCCAAATAAAGGGGGTTTCGCTGGGCAGAGACTGTCTTTGTAGATCCAGAGTGGGGAGGCTTTCTCCCTGCATGTGGAGTGCAGCTGCTGAAACCCAATGATCACTGCTGTGCTGGCTTATGGCCTGTCTGCCTGGCAATGTTCTCAGGAAGCAGGGGCACTCCTGACCTTTGTGAAACTGAGCAGAAGAAAATCTCTGATATAAGAAGACTTTGAAAGATATTTCTCCAAAAAACTTGGTCTTGTGGAGGTCAAAGTAACTAGAATGTGGTAATAATAATAATAGCCCTTGATAGTTTTAGCCTCCTGCATTAGAGATTGTTGACATTGGTGTGTAGCCTTTAGTCTTTGGGGACTCAACTTTACAAGCCCTTTAAATGTACTCAGAGATGAGGTTTCTATTCAGCCACTGTTCTTTCTGTTAAGTGCATTTCAGAGAAAGGCAGCATTGAAGTAGAAGATCAGGTGCTTTACGAAATAGCTGTGTGCACAAAACTGCTTAGCAGTTCATTTCCTGGCACAAGAGAGACAATTGCCTAACTACTCAATCCTCTGAGTAACCTTAGGAGAGCCAGAAGTGAGCACTGACAATCAAGGGCCTCTAGGGAAATTGATTGTTTGAGGACTTCAGAATTCCTATGCTGAAGACTAGGTTTATCATGCAATTGGTGTCTTAGTAGATGTGAAAACAAGCAAACCAAACCTTGGCATTTCCCCTGTGCAGAAAAAGTCAACTAACTGAACAAATTTAGAAATAAAATGTGTTTGTCAAATTAAGCTTTTATACTTATTTATGCTTAAACACAAATGAGGCTTACTTCCTCTGTGTTTTACTAGGAATCGCTGCTAATTCTTAATTTAGTAGTTGAAAGGTAGCAATGATTTTCTTATACTACCTGCCTGTCACACTTCCCTTTTGATTCTTTGGTCCATATACCCCTCCAGACAGTGCTGTCCCTTGCTTAATTTGAAGCAACCCTCTGCCCAGTTGACACAGGCTTTCCATTCTCAGTCTAGTTCCAGCCACAGGAACTGTACCTGTTGGCATATCCCAAAATACCAATTTGTCTTTTATCTGTACTAGCAGGACATGATGACCAGTCTGCCTGATACAGTTTCTGAGGGTAATGTTTATTTCCGTGAGAACATTTATGGGCTTTATTTTTGATTTTGAGTTTGGTAAGGTGAATGCATGGAGAAGCCATCTCCTTTAATTTTCTCATAATATTAGTAGAATGAAGAGAAAAACATTGTTTATGGAGCATATACATTGGCATGAATATAAACATACTCTTATACCTACATTTCACACATGCATATTAAACGGATATTTTAAAATATCTACCTAGACCATAATTTATAAAAGTGAAAATACGAGCAAAAAAGAAAAAAAAGAATAGAATAGTAAATATGATAAAAGAATTAATTTATGGAGTAGTTGTCAAAGAATTACTTTTTTGTTTTTGAAAATGGGAGATGATTACGTAGGAATTAGTTATAACTGTCCATTTACTGAGTTCTACTCTATGCTAGATACTACATACATCATTTCACTTAACTCTCTTTGAAATTTTGTTTGGTAGATATAACCAGTGCCTTTACATTACTTAGTGTAGACAGAAGGTTGAATAATTTGACCAATAAAGAATGATGAGACTTTTACCCAATCTCTATGTCCTAAAATACAGGAGTCAGACTTGAAGACTGTCCCAACTTCTTTCAACTCTTTTTCATCTACCTAAAGCATTTGAGCTGTATTTTATTGCTCTTCAGTTGAGAGTCATATGGATCATCCAAATGATGGTGAATCTGGAGCTATGAATAAGGAAGACTCAGTGAACTTGGTTGAATGGGGCCCCTGGGGTGTGGGGGATACACTTTGTCACTTATATCATTTGTGAAATACATTTTACCTCTAAAATAAAGAATGAGAGAGATGCTGTAGGGACCAGGTGGTAGGGGGCATACAAATAACAAGAGGTAACCAAAGCTCATTCAGCCTCATCAGATTATAGCTTCTTGGTGTCACCATGAAAATTAACAATCTTCTGTAAGAGACCAAGTGCCATGCAAAAAGTAGATAGATCCTTGCCAAGGTCTAACTGCAGACATGAGCATTTATGTGGATTGGATTAATGATTAAATGTGGCAAAAGGAATCAGGTGAACAAACTAATGTTGGATAAAGGTACAAAATTGCTCTTTTGGCCTTTTCTATTTGCATCTGAGCATAAGTTGAGAGGTTTGAAAATCATGCATTTATAGGGCTGGAACCCTCAGAAGTCATCCTATTTAAACCAGTAAAGACCTAAGTACTAGGTATCCAGAAAGCCTGGGTCACTTTGCTAGGTAAGGGTGAAGTAAGGCTTAGAATAGACATCTCCACTGCTTTCTCTAGCATACTACCTCCCGACCTGTTGTCAAGGAAGGCGAGTAGTGGCAATATTTATTGCTTCATTTTAATAAGCTCACAGAAATGGTTCAAGTAGATTAAAAAAGAAAAGGAGAGAAAAAAAGAAAAAGGAAAGGACATAGAAAGAGGGATGGTGGGAGATTGCCACCTTTCCTAGAGGAGACATTTTTTTTTCTTTTTCCAATTGGCCATTAATGAAGTCAGACTTGGCCATTCTAGAACAAGGACCAGCAGTTACCATTATTTATAATTATTTGATTTGTGTCCTTTATTGTTGTCTTTTCTATAATAAAGCATGACAAAGACTGGAATCATATCTGTATTTCAGTATGACTATAATAGCTGGGGAAATACTTGAAAAATATTTGTTGAATGCACAGGGATCTAGTATGTGAATGAAGTAGCTGTTTTCTGAGGAGCTTCTTTAAAATGATGGATTCTGAGCATCATGTTAGGCCACCTGAATCAGTCTCTGGGAAGGCCGGGGCCTAATGGATAACAGCTGCTACAGTATGAGCCGACAGGGCTGGGTGCATGTCACAGGCTGATTTCTCTGAGTGGTCAATGGTCTCCATGTTTTCCCTTCTCACACCCCCGCTGCTCCCCCCCCCCCCCCCCCAGGCTACAGTGCTGAATGCTACAGCAGTGGAGTGGCTTATCCTGTAAACATTGAAACACTGACAGTGAGGTGGGGACAGATCATTTGCTGTTGATCTTAAAACCGTATTTCCTTTTTTCCCTGTTTGCTTAAAACATTGGCAATAGGTGGCCAGGAAAAGGGTAGAAGAGGATGAACACTAGTTCTTTATTCAACTCCCTTCACTTTGTAGGGAAACTGATGTCTGAAGAGAGATCTGCTAGACCAAGGAAGCAGGAGGCTGAGACTTATTCTGAATCTCTTTAGTATTCCTGAACAAAATATACAGGAGCCAAGAGTAAAAAGAAAAAAAAAAAATCTGTCATGAGGAACTGGAAGGGCCTTTGAAAGGGTCAGTGGGTATGATGAAAGAATATACGTGAGAATTCTAGCAGGAAACTAAAAGGACTGTGGGTATTACTATAACCCATGCCAACTGTCTTAGTTGATCTCATCTAAGCCCACAAGATCCTCTCCTGTCAAAAATCTGTTTACCACCAGATATATATTTGAAGATTTAGAGCAGGTGTTAGTTTGGCAGCCTTAGCATTTGAGAGGAGACGGCTGCAAAGTTTCATATTTCCTCTTTAATCTCCACGGTCACTCTGTTCTGTGATACTGTTGCCTACTTCTATCCGTAAGAAGCACTTCATCAGTTTTAGGCTATGAGGTCTTTGTGTTTCTCATGGGTTTGTTTATTATGGAATTTTGAAAGTGCTGGCCTATGAGAATCTTGAAGCATTTTTGAGTATGATATAAAGTAGAGGGAAATCCCTGATTTATGAGAAGTTTTATATAATATGAAGTTTTATTAGATAGAAAGACTTAGGCATTTTCAGGAAAGATTCAGTTTTTAGGACTTTGAGATAGAAAGGAGGGCCTTTTTATTATCCTTTTGCCAGATTTTTGTTCTTTCCCTGCAGGTAAAGATAAGACACATTTGCATCTTAGGCCAGTTGTAAACCTGGATCTCTATCCCCACCCTCCAGTTCCAGTGCTCTTTGGTTATTCTCTTCATTTTTATTAAATTGCAATGGAGGAGGTCACATGGCATTGGTAACAGGATTCTTTACAAATTTGTCTTTGTTTTAAATATGATCTGGACCCATTACATCTATTATTCTGTAAGATATGGCTCCACTTCTTCAACCCTCACATTCCCAATTCTATCTCCGTTTCCCTTGTTCATAGAAGACAAACCCTACTTGCATTTCCACTGAGATCAGAGTTGCCCACTGTTAAACCCATTGTTTCCTTTTACCTATGAAACAGTCATATCACATACTTTTTTCTAAAATAGAATGGATTCTCCTATTCATTCATTTGTCATTTTTTTCCTATTTCATAGCAAGAAACTGTAGGTTACTGTCCAAAGGTAGATTTGATGTGTTTCCTGGGTTCTTAGCATCTTGCTGTTTGGCCATTTGTACTCATTTCTATTTGTATCTTCAGTTACTCTCTCTTCTAGATTCCTTTATCTCTACAAATATATGTATGTGTGTGTGTGTGTGTGTGTATGCCTCTCTCTTTTTAAAACAAAATGGACACAAAACTTTTCATTGGTTCTGTTGTTTAACTATATCCCATTATATCACCAGGCCAACCTTTATAATCCATCAATTCAATCTTGTAACCATCCCTACATTTAGTCTTCTAGTCATCAACCCATCCACCCACCTGCCACATATCCATCTAACATTAACTGAATGCTTATTGTAACCTTATTTTACATGTTAGATCACTAAACTGCAAAGAATCAGAGTATAACCAAATTCATACAGCTCTGCTCTCATGAATTTTATTAGGGTTTTGGTCTTACACACACACAAAGCATTAATTGGGTTTGACATTTAGGAAATCAACAGTGATTGATATATATGTATACACATACACACACACACACACATAGATGCTTTCTTAGTTTTCATCTTATTTAATCTGTGTCAAGTAAGCACTGGAGTTTTTAATCACAAGACTATGCAATGCATACATTTATAATTTAATTGTATGTTTAGTTGCAGTTTGAACATTGTTTTGTTTCTCTGTGGCAAGCCCATTAGGCTACTGACATGTCTGAGAACCACTGTTAAAATCTAAATTTATTTATGTGAGAGTTGCTGTTTATATTGTACTCTATGCACCAATGAGAAGAATTCAGAATCACACCCAATACAGGTGTGTTAAATAACACCATCTGCTCAGTTGGATCATGAATGGCTTTTTAAAAATTCTGTAAGGTGCTGGCCCAAAGCCTGTCCTTTTCAGGAGGAGGGGTATATTGTTATTCTAAGACCCCCCCAATAGAAGATTTGGCTTGAAATTCCCCTTCAGGTCATTTCTTCTTTTTGTTAGTTGTGTGTTCAATACATATGGGAGCCCCTGCCCCAGGGTTTGGGTTTGGGAAGACTAGTATAAAGAAGGCCTGAAATTGGTAAGAAGACCCTACTGCCATGACAGAAAAGGCTTGCGAAAACCTTCCTTTACCACCCTCAAGATGCTGCATGAATAAACCATTCTTCACTGTAATCTATTATTCCTGCATTAAAAATACAGGGTAGAAGATATATTATGATGCAAATATATCATGAATGTGATTCTTTACACTGTAGGAAGAATTTTCTAGTCTTCTTTGATAGACTACTTCTAGATGATGTCGATAATGAAAGCACAGAAGGAATGTGAAGTTGGTTAGTACTTGGAAGTGAAGGTTTGAAAGGAAATCTGTTTGTGTCTGTTTAAATTATTAAGAGAGTTATAAAAATATATCTTGATATAGGACCCTATAAGATTAGCTGCACAAAGCTTAGCAACTGTTAATTAGCTGTGTGACTCTGGTCAGGCAGGTCATTGTATTCTTGACACATAGTCCTCATTCTTCAGCTTTAGATGGAGACTATGTATGGTCCTCCAAGGTCCCATGTAATGCTGAGGTTCTGTGATTCTGCTGGAGGAACTGAGAAAAATTAAAAGGTGTTTGCTTGCTTGTTTGTTTTTGGTGGTTGAAATAGTCCATGTCAAGAACAATCTGTGAAAGACATGTTGGGCCTGGGGCCACAACAGCTCATGCCTAGTATGAAGCACTTGGGGCTGTTGACTGTAAAAATGAACTAAGATCTGGCAGGTGCCCACCCAACATCATGTAGAAAGCAGAGCAAAGCTGTGGGACCAGTAATGCCTGCAGGTGATTGACAGTCTTTGCAGCTCTGTACCAGTGTTCTGGATCCTTTAGAGACTGCTTCCTCCCCTAACAAAGGCAAAGCCACGAATGGGTAGCCAGGATTATATGGTGAATAGTGCTCTTTCCACAGTGGTTTCTAGGACTTTCAGCCAACAACCTAAAAGACAAGATGCTGTAGTAGCCTCAACTGTAGACTGACAAAAAGAGAAAAACCTCACAGCTTGTGTGAGGTATGCTGCCCATGGGGTGTGAACGCTGTCACTGCAGTAAATGGTAATTTTGCTATTATATCTGAGAACCAGCTGTGCAGTGGGCATTGAACTAGACCTTTCACATGGGGTTTGAAACTAGGTGTTTTACTTGGGGTTTGAAAAAGGTTGACTCTCAGGGATAAATTATAAATATGATTTTCTCTTTACAGTAGAAGAAACTGATACTCAGGTAAATGATTAACTCCCTGAGATTGCTAACTCCCTATGGATGGTTTGTAAATTTGCCATTCTTAAACTTTCTTCCTTCTTTGAGCAAACTCTTTTATTGCTGTCATTGCAAATTTTGTAGAATAGTTCTGTCCCTTCTTAGCTTTCATGTCATTCCCGCCCCCTCCCCAGTCTATCTAGTAGAATTACTGGAACTTTTTAGCATGTGAAAATTCATATACAGTAAGAGTAATTTCTTGAAACTAAATCAAGTTGTCCTATTATAGGACGAGAAACAATTGTAATAGTTTTTTCTGTTCACTCCTAGATGTTCTTTCTTTCTTTGAAAGGAATTTTTTTGTGCAACAACAGAGAGAAAACATCAATTTTTAAATAGCCTAAATTCCATCCTAGGATTGTTAAGGAAATTTTGATATTATGAAATATAAGTAAAGATGATGGTAATTAATTCTATATTAGTTCCATATACTATATTATATTTTTTAAAAGTATAACTATCCTATGACATGTTGGAATATAGTTACTTCTTAAACTTTGTATGATAATTTGTAACTTCTTAAGGAACAAATTCCAAGTCAGACAGGAAGGAGAGGAGAGGATGTAGGAGACAGCAGCTTTAAACAGTGGTGGGGACGTGTTTCCTGGGGGAGGGGGGGGGGCAAAGGCCAGGTGAGAGGGTCAGGAAAGGTCACTCTCCCAGCACTTAGGAAGTCCTGATTTTGGTTCATTTGTGTGAACAGCATTATTTCTTTTATTAGTGTAAATTATTATAATTTTTCTTTTGCAGTATATAGTATATAAATTATGGGTAAACTTGTGAACTGGGAAATGCTGGTGGTGTACAACAGATGCTGTGTTTATAAAGCTTTTAGTGGGGTGGGGGTAGGGGAGAGGGCTGCATCTCTCAGCAGTGGGTGCCACCCATACAGATGCCTTTTAATGTTTTTTTGTTTTGTTTTTGTAAAACCATCATTTCTCTAAAGAAATTCTTACTTAAAAAAATGGAGTTTTTCTACCTTAAATTTTATGCAGGCATGACTTTATTAGAATGTAAAATGTCAGGAATTGGAATAGTTGAAAACCATATTTCTAAAATTGGAGAATTTGTATACATTTCTGAGTTTGTCTTTCTACTCTGGTGGTACTATTATTTGGTGAAAACAGTACAGTGAGAAATGATAGAGAATAGCTCTGAACAGTGTTTTTTTTTTTAAACTGTAAAGTTATTAGTTTTGTGTATATAACATAATGACTTGCTATGTATATAAAATGTGAAATGGTCACTACAGTAATCACCACACCTAGTTACAGGACCATTGGTGTTCTTTTACCCATGCTGTTTTACAATTTTTTCCTTGAAAACCAGTGTTAAATGGAGTAGACAACACTGAGAATTTAAAATGTTGGTTTTTAAATGTTACTAACCTCTTACAATTTTATAATACATTAAACAAGTGTTTAGGAATAAAAATTAAGTACTTAAGGTAGATAAGTTCAGTAAATGCATTGTATTTTATGAGTATGTGTACAAAAATCATAAACTAACAAGGACCATAATCTTATTTTTCTGATCTAGATATTTGAATGGTGGTATTTTCGCAAGTACGGAACATCATTCATTGAACAAGTCTCAGTAAGCCACTTGCGCCCCCTTCTGGGAGGGGTTGACAACAACTCCTCCAACAATTCTAACTCTAGCAATGGGGACTCAGATTCCAACAGACAAAGCGTCTCAGGTATGGAAAGTCCTTCAGTTTGCATCATTATATGTAAAGCTATCATAATCATAAGACAACAGGATTCCTATTTAAAGATTAGACTTCATTAAAAAGTATAGTTTATTTTCCCAAGGAATCGACAGCCTCTTGATGTAGCATATCAGCCTTCCAAGAAAAGGAAATGTTTATCTTGTTTAATTTTACTTTTTCTTCCTTTGGGCTTAACTAATGTCCATTATGTCACTATTCCTAACTTTAATCTTTAGAAAGAGACTCCTAGCATCTCCCTGTCCCTAGTTTCTCAAACCTCATTGACTGTATCCATTCTTTCCCATGCTAAAACAACAGCTGTGTCTAACTAAAGGTGTGCTGACAATGATCCTGATCTTAAAGCCTATATTGGTTCCTATTCCACTGAAGATAAGGCCCCAATTGCATGTTCCTTAGCATGAGATGCTTTAAAAAAAAAAAAAAGATTTATTTATTTATGCATACAGACCTGGGGCACAGACCAGAGGTGCAGGGGCAGTGAGGATTCACCAGAGACAGAGTGGGGAGCAGAACAGAAAGATCAATGAAACACACTGCTGAGGGGAGCAGTGGGTGAAACAGAAGAGGTCTGCCAGGTCATGTGGGTCACCTCTTTGGCCAGGGATTGAACTCACACTGAAGCATCTGTGGCCAGCTTGAAGTACTGCGTCCTAACCCCTTGTGTCACCAGGGAGGGCCCATGAGATGCTTTTATGCCAACCTTGATAGCTGTCACAGTTCTAATTCCTCACCTTTACTTTTTTTTTTTTTAAGATTTATTTGTTTATACATACAGAACTGGAATACAGGCCAGATGTACAGGGGTGCTAAGAGGATTCACCATAGACAGAGTGGGAGCAGAACACGCAGATTGAAATATACTGCTGAGCGGAGCAGCAGGCAGGCCAGGAGAGGTCTGCCACACCATGTGGGATACCTCCCTTGCTGAGGATAGAACTCATGCTGTAGTGCCTGTGGATAGCTTTTTCTGTGCTATTTAAACTGTTGCACCACCAGAGAGGGCCCCTTGCCATTACAGTTTTAAATGTCATGTTTTCTTAGAACATTGTACCTAGAAGTCTGTCTCCTCTCTTTTGTTTTTGTTAATCTCTCACAACCCAACTCAAATGACCAGATGGTTCATTACCTTCTGAGAATCTCCATCTTCCTTGACCCTTACTATTTTCATCAGTAGCAGTTTTTATCAACTTGCACTGTAACGCTTACTGATTTGTTGCATTATCTCTAGCATTTTTTTTTTTAAGAATATATAGGGTATCATTGAAGCTCAGTAAATGAATGAATGAACACAGGCAAGACCTGTACTTTCTCCATTCATAAAAGAAGAGGAAAGGATTTAATTTTTTAGTTTGTTCTCTTCATCAACTTAGTAAACATTTCGTAAGTCCCTAATATGAACTTGGCCTTGTACAAGTTCTTATAAATATTATGGCTAGAAGAAAAGCCCAGACGTTCTCTGTGAGACACTCATGTCCACTGACGGAGACAAAGTGTAAATATCTATGTGAGGGAAATATACAATGCTATGAAAAACAAAGGAAGAGTTCCTGTCCCAAGGGAGGGGACAGGAGGGGAAGAGATCATTTCTTTAAGGAGAAGATCCCCGTCCTGAGATTTGCAGGATGAAGGGGAAGACATTAAAAAGCTAGGTCATTTTTTTTCTTCAGCTATAGAATATCTTAGTTCACATTTTATAATTGTCCATATAAGGGATAAACTTCAAGGTTCACTGTCTATACATACATTGATACATATACATGTATAGTGAATGTACACATTTTTGGTATTAATTCAATGCCCTTTTAATCGACCTTTTGCCAACCAGCCATGAATAGTAATGGGCGCTTCTACATACATATTTTAAGTCATCCCGAAGGGTATGTGTACAAAAGATGGAAAAAATGGGTTCTCGCTGGTGGCACAACGGGTTAAAACACTTATGAAGTTTTCAGAAGTCACGGCAGCACGAGTTCAATCCCTGGCCAGGGAGGTGACCCATATGGCGTGGCAGAACTCTTCTGACCTGCCCGCTGCTCCCCTCAGCAGTGTACTTTGTCAATCTGCCTGTTCTGCTCCCCACTCTGTCTCTAGTGAATCCTCTCACCTACCATACCTCTGCCCTGTACCCAAGTTCTGTATGCATAAATAAATAAATCTTAAAAAAACAAAAAAAAGATGGAACTACTCAGTCACAGGATTGCCTAGGACTTTGTAAACTCATACATTTTGTGAAGGAAACAGAAATAGACCTGAGCAAAGTGAACCATTATTTTAACCAGCTACTCTAGGAATCTTGATCATTCATCATCACATAAGCAGTTGGAGATAATTGCCATCACTTTGCATCTGCTCTGAAGACCTCACATTCAATGTGCCCTTGTCTGGATTCCAGTTACTGTAGTCTTTGAATGACACAGAAAATTGTAGAAAATTAACAGATTGAAAACAGCAGCCTCATTTGAGGCCATTCTTTATTATGAATACATTTTTATTTTCATTATCATACTCTACCCAATTTAATTCTCTTGACATCATTCCTTAATTCAATGAAGAATTCATACTGTTCTTATTGTTGCTATGATTTTACCACCTCTCTTTGAGGTTGCTTTAATTTAACCTTATGTATCATATAAATCCTGATGTATTTCAGTGCTTGTACAGAAGATCTTAAAGGCAGAACCTAAGTCTTTTCTGAAATTATATCCAACACTAATAATCATAGAAATTCCAAGTTTTATTTGTACTGAGTTTTTACCTAGCTAAGGCTGAACTTTTGAGTATACTTAATTTAATTCCTCTTGCATTTACTCAATATCTACTACCTATACATGTAATATTTCTACTTATTTCATATACAATGTATAACAGCATTTATGATCTTATTTCATAATAATATCCAAATAGTTTCATTTAGGAAGATGGAAATTACCTTGTTTAAGTATCTTTAGGGCTCAAACTACCCACTTTCCCTTCAAATTTAGGTTTCTAATTTTTGGCTGAGCTCGGCAAACATTTAGGCTGACATGGGAGAACAAAATACCGTGGGATTAATAATCACTTCCACTTCTCTTTTCTTATAGTGATTTTTAGTTTTGAATAAGAAAAAATATTTTAAAATATATTGTCGATGTTTATCATTACCCTCAATCACTTCTATTCCATAGTCTGATTTCTATCAAATATGAAGGAAAAGGAAATTTCAAAAACCGAGGGCATTCAACACATTGTCTTAGAGGAAATTATTAAAAAATTCCCATTTTCTCAGTAGTAATAAAGTAACTTAATAAAGAAGGTTACATCTATTAATTTTCACGGAGCCTTATAAGACAGGATTTTTGCTGAATCTACATGAAATACAAGATGGTTCACAAGTCCCATGCACACTGGCAAAGCAAGTGGCATTGTTTGTCTAAGAAAATCATTAAAAAAGCAAAAATAAACAGAAAGTACCACTTATAAGCATTAGGCTGTGGGAAAATTCATAGTGTGGTTCCTTTCATTAAAAACCACTTGTTTTAAGAGCTGCAATAGAGATCTAGCCTACCTAAGCATGATTTGGATGTGGGGGTGATTGTTGCAGGGCACATACTGTTTAACTTTTGAGTTTGTTTAAAGTGATCTGATTGCAGAGTCTCACAATTTACAGTGATATTTAATTGTAGACCACAAGAGAAATACAGTCATTTCTGAATTCTACTTAGTTCATGAACTGATGATATGTAAGGAATTTAAAACTTGGCCAATTTCTTCCTAACTTAGGTAAAAGATCTTAGATCCCAGTATCTTTGTAGATTTGGGTTTATGAATGTTTGATAATCTGCCTTATTCTTAGATATCAAATATTCTCAAATATCAAAAATTTTCAAATATCCTCAAATATATTGAGGATAGTTTGGATGGTGCTCCATCATAGGAGAAGTATCCATGCCAAAGTCAAGCTTAAGTTCTCTGAGATGCTTTAATAGTCTCCTACATAGAAATGGATCTTTAGCCAAACTTTGGTTATAGTCAGTAAGCTTCCTATTGAAAGTCGAGTCGTTTTATTTTAATCTCAATTTATATAAGATATGTTTATGTAAAACCCTTTATAAGAATTTCACCTTGAATTCTAAATTAAATTCATTATATCAGCAGAAACATGAAATACTGATTAAATAAAAAGAATAATTTTAGAGTAAAGTAATAGAGATGAAGAAACTCAGGTAGAATTTAAAGATATATCTTAAGACAGTTGTGGAGGACAGCCATTTAGCAGTGTCCTCGAGATGATCGGACTTCTCCACAAATATGAATGGGAGGTTGGCACAGCTGTATGGAATTGTGGCCAAGGGTTCAAGAGGACTACCCACTAGCTTAGGACTGCCCACTTAGCTCATTTTTATACCCAGACCTTTCAGCCTTATATTTCAAATTTCAGAAAAACTGAAATTATTACATGTCAAAGACTTCTGGAGTTACTCTCTAATAATCTCAGTCACTGAAAAGTAATTTGTAATTGCCAACATCTAAGCATGTGTTGAAACTAATTCTCTTAGCCAAAACTTATTAAATCTTCAAATGTTTTTGTCACTAAGGTTTGTATTTCAGACTAGATTAGCTTTTTAATTGAGTGGTGAAATTGCCTAAAACAGTTTTAATACTCTGGTAATAAACTTGTTTTACAATTTCCACATACCTGGTAGAGTTGAATGACTTCATATATGCTCTTCACCTCAAGCTGATGTCAGCTTTAAGCTTCTTTACAGAAAGACTTAAAAATCATATAACTAAGACAAAAATTAGTGTTATTTCTGCTTATAATAATATCACTATCATTATTGGATTTCTGATCCTGGGCAGGGGTTCTGAATCCTCAAGAAGTGATGCTTATTTGTGCATTTCCACACACACATGATATAATTATTGGCAAATCTCAGGGGTTTTTTTCCCTTTGAGGATTGTGATAAAGGTGAAGGTTGTGGTTTTCTCAGTACATTTACAGGTTTCCTTCACTATTCAAAAATAGCCATTAAATTTTATGGAATAATTTTTACTGTGCCCAGATCCAAAACAATAACCTATCAAAAGTAGAAACTCTCTACTTTTGGGGAAACTGTATTTCTTTTATAAAGCTTCAGTTGGATGCCACAGTGGGTCAATACATGTTTATATGCTCTTCTAGCCATAAGCTGTATCTCTTTTTGTAGCTCAGGGCCTAGTGCAAGGACTATTGCATAATAGCTACTTTGAACATATTTAAACTACATAGTTCTATGGCAATGAGGTGGCATTCTGGAGGAGTACCTGAGTATAAAACGTCATAAAATAAGTAGCAATCAGGTGGAATTTTTTCGTTGAGAAGGAAGATTGCGGAAAAGATTGGAGGTTGGTTTTAGAAATCCTCGATGAGGTCTTTCCTGGTGGCGCAGTGGGTTAAAACACCACACTGCAAGTGATCCATCCTATGGCATGTGAGACCTATCCTGTCTTGCCCACTGCTGCTCCCCTCAGCAATGAACCTTGTCAATCTGCCTGTTCTGCTCCCTACTCTGTCTCTGGTGAATCCTCTCTCTGGCCTGCACCCCAGTTCTATATGCACAAATAAATAAATCTTTAAGAAAAAAGTCCTCAATGAAACTGAGCCCCCCCCCCTTTTTTTTCAAAGATTCTTTGTCTCTCACACAGAAACTTATAATGATTCTATTATGACAAAAGAAGTAATCTGTTCTACAGAATTTGGGCACAAAACAAGAGCTATAGCAATATTTACATCTTTTTCTTCTGAACTGCATTCTTGCCTGCATGCTGAGGTGTGCTGATCTCTACCAGCAGTTAAGGGCAGAGACTACTATGGGTGATTGCAGGTGGAACCAGTGAGCATGTTTACTATACCATGTGCTTATTTTTAATTTTTACTGAATTTGATGATGTCAGTAAGTCCTTGACAAAGACTCAGGCAGTCTTTAGTACTTCTAATGAACACTAAAGTTGCTGATTTTACTGGAGAATGAAAAGTCCGTTTAGAGGCAAGTTTTTATTATAATTTGAATAAGAAATGTGTTCTTCTAAGTCACAAATAAGAGATAGGACTTGATGAGGAAAAAACTTTAACATTCTGGAGGCCTGAGTTTAATTTCTTGACTTAAAATTTTCATTTTCTAATACAATTGGCATTTACAACCTTTGTCCATATCACAAACCCATCAGGCAATCTCATATTTATTGGGTGTGTTTCCAAGAGTGATTCCAGACTTAAGAGAGTTTTTGCTGTAAAGATAAGATTATAAAACAAAACAGCAAAGAAGAAATTAACATACCTATAATTTGCAGTGAAACCTTGACATGTATTAACATTTGACTTTTACATTGCTCATTTCTTAAAAAGAAAATTCTATCTGCACCCTCAGTTTGAAGGCTATAAAAAAGAAATGATAGCATGTCTTTTATAGTTCATCACATTCTTCCCCTACTCAGAACATTTTATATGCTATAATTACTTAGATCCTCATATGTTAAAGTTTCAGGGATAGCTGAAGAAACTTAATGGATACCACATATAAGACATCAATGTTAGTAATTTTTTTTTTTTTTAAAGTTCAGCTCTCTAATAAGATACAGAAAAGCATTATTTCAAAATGTTTGCAACACCCCCTGCTGGCTGTATTGTGGCACTTCCCAAATAAATATTACCCTTTAAGATACAGGTCAATAATTGATACTTTAGGCATGCATATCATTTCTGTCTGGCAATATTTTTAGGTTTAGAAATAATTTTATTGGCATTGCCTTTGCATTGAAGTAAGTTTGCTTTGTATTTGAACAATGTTATCATTCCAGGTGGTATAGTAATGTATTTGTCAGAGACAAATTTTTTGCCATAACCTTTTTACTAGTGTAATTCAGTGTGAAAGAGGCATCTCCCTAGATATTCCTGTTTTATTAGCAATAATGTTACCATTAGCATTCTTCATACATAAATCTGTATACATGTTTATATACCAACTGTAATCCTTGCTATATTCATGGAGTTTAAAGAAAGTCTTGAAGGGCTCTGAGGAGGAACTGTGAGAACATAAGATTGTTAATAGCCACCAGGGCATAATTCATGGGTTGTTTGGCTCACCAATGTGAGTCAAGCAATGATCTGGAGTGTTTTAAGTAACTTCCTTAGTGCCTGGGGCAAAAATGAATTTTTTAAAGAAAGCATAATTTTCAGTTAGTGCTTTGAATCTTAGAGATTCGATGAAATTCAGAGATGTTGGACTTGTTGAACAAAGCTCATTTCCTAACTGGAAAGTGACATTTCGAACCATTGAGGATAAATATTGAGTAAACTTTAACTAGGATCCTGCCCAATTTAAAGGTAAACTTATCTTTTATAAACTTATCTTTAAAAAGACATATCTTTCTGTTTTGTGTCTATCCCTCCGGCACTATTTTAACAAAAATATGTTAAGATCAAGGATAGTGTTCCCATAGTGTTTTATGTTATCTATTTTCATGCTCAATAACATTTTATGATTTACATGTTTGTTTCTTCCAATGAGTGCTCAATTAATGCCAGCTGGGTGGATGGGTGATGGTTGGATGTGTAGATGGAATGGTGGATATTGAATATAGCAGGACTGAGAAAAGCCTCTGGGTGATTCACCCATGGCCTTTTATGTTTTCTTGCAATAATTGTTCAGTTTTCTGCAATAATTGTTGAGTTTTGTGTGTATATATTGTTGGGTGTGTTTTCTGGCTGACTGCACACAAATGGAGGTTTTAAGTACTGTTAACTGATTTTATTTTCTAATGAAACATTATTCATCCACAGAAATGTAATATTCTGAATCATTAGAAAGTCTTAATCATAGGTTGTTCTAAAAGAACTGTAGTTTATTAGTCATACACTTACTCTCACAGTCTTAAAAGCTAATGATTGACCTTTTCTAAGCTTAAGTCCTGTGCTCCTAAGTTCCTGTGCTCCTTATATAAGAAAGATGTATAACCTTAGTAATGCTAGCATTGTATGTTATGGATAACAATGGCATGATTTGTACATATAACTGCATATGTAAGCAATATTAAAATGCTCTAAAATAACTTACCTTATTAATTTTATTACTGTTCCTTTATGCAACGTAAAAGCAAATAAATTATTGTAAATGATTATGAGCATAGATCCTAATTAAGAATCTAAGACTCTTTGTATGTTATATACTAGAGCTTGTGTTTAGCTTGTTATATATAAAGTCATAAAGTATATTTTAGAGTAACAGAAAGTACTTTTAATTCTATTTACACCTTCTATCAATAATTTTAGAAATAAATTAATATAATTTATTTAGACTTCTTGAAATGTCTATATAAGCTAGGAACTAGCTAATTTTGGCATGCACCTTGATTTAACAAATGAGGAAACTTCAGCCCAGAGAGATTAGGGAAACTTTCCAAAGTCCTGCTGCCTGAGCTGTTTCTTGATTAAACACCCAGAGTTTTTCCATGTTGCTTCCCTTGTAAAGGATAGAGAATGAAATTATCTTATCAAATGGCCAGGAAGGGTGTTTTCCTGAATTAATTAGCTTGTGGTGTCTCTAAACTTACATGTTACATTTTCATACTTCTCTTTGTTGCAGAATGCAAAGTATGGCGAAATCCACTAAATTTATTTAGAGGTGCTGAATATAATCGGTAAGTATTTTGACAGCTTGGAAAACAAATGGGTCTAGTTCAGAGAGCAAAGACAGCGGCAAATGTTTTTGCTAGTTCATTGAGGGGTCATTGTAACAGACATTCAGTATTTCTACTTTTTGATACCCTCCTCAAATGTTTTAGTTTTTATTTTTTAAGTATTAGCACTAGAATTGGGATAATATATACCAAAGTATCATGCAGAATTTTATATTAGTTATTCATTTCATTATATGTTATGTAATCAAAATATTTTGAAGCTTACCTAGAACATAGTTCTAAAGATGTCACAGAAGTTATGTTGACATTCAGTTTTGCAGAGTAATTAGGCAAATCAGAATTTTCATAGCTTTGGGGAAATGCATTCGTAATACTAATTAGGGAAGGTTTAAATTAGCTAACACTGGCAAACTTTTAAGACAGAAATATACATGAAAATGTTTATATCAATACAGCTGATATAGTTCCTGAAGGAAAAATAGGATTAAACTAATTTTTTAAGTCACTGCTAAATCTAGTACTAAGTTAATGGTTATATTTCTACTCTTATGCAGCTGAATATTTTGTAGGTTTGCTTTCTTCTTCCAGAATTGTCTGACCATTTTATTTACCTTCTACAGGTACACGTGGGTGACAGGACGAGAACCTCTGACTTACTATGACATGAATCTCTCTGCCCAGGACCACCAGACATTTTTCACTTGTGATTCAGACCATCTGCGTCCTGCTGATGCAAGTATGCAAAATCCTTTGTATATTGCTGAGTGGGAGGGCTTTTGGTTTCAATATCAAGATTACTAATCTACAAATACCCTAATGGGTAAAATATTAAATTGAAAATTGTCTACTTTTACCCAGATTTCACCTAAATAAAGACTATCATAATGAATTCTGTATGTCTAAATAAGCCCCCTCATTATATTTTAAAATATACCAAAGTTAGTAAATCTAACTAAAGTTACATTTATATATATTTCAAGAGTATATTTTGAAAACTATGTCTTACATGTAGCTAATTAAATCCTTAGTTGGCTGAGTGAAATATCATGTCTCCTTGATGATAATCTAGTTAGAGATTAAGATTCAATGAATCCAAATGAATGATAAATATATTGTGGCTACTTATATATGCCTTTTCATGTGTTTGCTAGCACTGAGTGGGGACATGACCTTGACTGTTAGAATTCTTTTTTTGTTTTTTATTCTAGAGTATTTAGAATGCATTTCTGACTATTTGAGTTCTAAATAATCTTGATATATTTTATATTATCCAAAAAAAAGAACAAGTCTGTAAAAAAGGAATATGTACTTGGTTCTAAAAAACAAACTCAGAAAATACAATGTTATAAGACAAAGATGCCCTTTACCCTTGTGGAGCATCATATTTAGGATAATAAATATTCTAAGCATTGATCTTCCCTCATTGTACTCACTAACTTCCTCGGTACATAAAAGATAGGCTTGCAGCAAACTTTGAGAACAGGTACAGAGGTTAAACAAAAGCATGCAGTATTTTTTCTCTGATACAATCCATTATTCTTCAAATGGTTTTAAAATGTTCATAGCAAGTGTTGGGAAAATGACCAATAGTATTTGTGGTGTGTCTGAATAAGAGAGATTAGTAAAAATGTCATCTCAAAATGTATAAAATAATGTTATCTAACAAGTGACATCAGTGAGCTAAAGAAATATTAAACCTCTAAGACAATAGACCATAGATTAGTCTGTAAGATTTAGATATGTGGTTTTATGAACACAAGAAAACATTCCACGCTCATTGAAGAAGAATGGAATAACAAATTAGAATGTATTTGTATGACTTTAGACATTTGGGCTGGTGATTTTCTTATAAGTGAAATATTCTCCTGTAATTTAAACTCAAGGCTATTATTAATTTAGCTATTGTCTTGCATTATGTCCCTAATTTTGCATATTGATTGACTTGCTTTTTTCTCTTTTTCTAAAATAGTAATGCAGAAAGCCTGGAGAGAGAGAAATCCCCAAGCTAGGATTTCTGCAGCTCATGAAGCCTTAGAGATAAATGAGTAAGTGAGAGAAAATCTTGCTTTTAAAAAGGAATCTCATTCAGTTGCTGATGGTGGGAAACTTAAATTTTTATGCATTTAGACTTGCATATAAACATTAATTTATAATTTTTTAAAAAATTTATTTCTTTGTACATACAGAACTGGGGTACAGACCAGAGGCTCAGGGGCGGTGAGAGGCTTCACCAGAAACAGAATGGGGAGCAGAACAGGCAGATCTACGAAGTACACTGTTGAGGGGAGCAGAGGGCGGGTCAGGAGAGGTCTGCCACGCCATGTGGTCACCTCTGGGGCAGGTGGGAATTGAACTCATGCGGAAGTGGCTTTAGCTTCTCAATGCAGTGCTGTAACCCGCTGCGCCATCAGGGAGGGCCTAATTTATAATTTTTTTTTTAAAAAGAGATCTTATGCAGAAGTGGTTTTAGTCATTTTAGAGCGTGATTCTGTAGTAGCTTTGCTGTGCCTCTAAATTAAATCCTTCAAGGGCTATCTCTAGGATACTGTGAGGATGTAAAAGTAAGTATAGTTCTTCACATGTCTAAAACATTTTGACAGAGAAATTTTTCCAGATGTAGAATGGTCATCTGTGCCATCACATTTTCCTAGGTAGGGGAGACAAAAACATAAATTTAAAAAATTACACTTTTAAAATATTTCAAACTTATGATAAAGATAAAGAAGAAATGTCCTCAGTGTTGTTAAACATTCTATGGGTTACCAAGGAAGTCAAGGAAATCTCTTCTGGATGTCTCGGAAAATGAGAAGGATTCTTAACATTGGAGTCATAGGAGCTCAGGGTTGGCAGAGACCTTAAAGGTCATTGAGCTCAACCACCCATCTGGTGCTTGAATCACCTCGACTTTTTCCCTGCCAAGTGGTCATTGTTAAACTATTTTATGATTTTTTTTTTGAAGGTTACAGAATCTTCTTCACAGATCTTAGAAAAAAGATTCACTTGAGAGTTGGAAATCCTGCCATTTTAACCTGTTGATCTATTTGGTTAAGGAATCTGTCCTGCGACATATTTATTTTCCAGTTTCTTGCCATTCACACTTTCATTGTGCCTGCCTTCTGTGTGTCATCCATGTTTCTGATAAAATATATCAGTCAGGGATAGAACCCTGTGACATGACCTAAGAAACCACCCTCCAGGTTCATGTTCTCATGAGTCTTCATCCTTTGGTAGTTTTTTAACCAATTATTAAGTTACCCAGGTATACTATGATTCAGTCCATACTTCTTCATTGTTCTTAAAAATGCCAGGTATAGGTATGGATCTGTGATGTATAGTAAAAACTAGAGTATATGAAGTTAGCACAACTGATTTATTTATTCTTAGCTTAAGTTGTTGTTCATGACTTTCTTTTTAAAAATGCTTGGAGATCATCCCTTCAATAACCATTAGAATGTCTTTCCAAAATCATAGCTCTGTAGTCTGGGAAGTCTGCTTTCCTCCCCTTTATGAACATTTCTACTTCATTTATCATCTCATCTGCTGGTACTTCTCTCCATTCTCTGTGACTACTTGACTTTCTACAGAAAGCTGCTCCTTGGCTTTCCTACAAGGTCTGTTGACTTCCTGGGTTTGCTTATCCCAGTATGGCAATTCATTTAGATTAGATAAGTGTTTTGTTGCTTGCTATCTTACATCTTTTTTTTTTTTTTTACCCACTTCAGAATTTAATTTCTTCTCCTTTTTTTCTGTCTGAAAATCATTTTCCTTGATGGAGAGCTAGGAACAAAATAAGAGTTAGAGAATTTTTGCATTCTCTTTATGATCTGCTGCTACGAACCATAGACATTTCTTGTTTTGATGTTGTTGTATTTGTCTTTTTGCTTTCTTATTTTTGTGATGGTTTTATGATGATGTGGTTAAAGGCCTTAAACATAATTTAAAAATAGGGAATAGATGGTTGTCTTTAGCATTTTGTTTTGATTTATCTTTATTTTGTTTGCAAGCCTGAGCCAATTTGTAGCCTTAGGTGTCCTGACATTATTCTTATAAGCTCATTTCATTCTTATAATGCTTCATTACATGGCCTTGTTTCATCATTTTTTACATGTCCTTTAAAACTCCAACCTTGTGAGAGATCTCTGTAAAGCCATATTGGTTACTTAAGTGTCGCCCCTCTTTACTTCCTGAGAGGATCATTTGTGATTACAGTGACAGCTGGACATTTGGAAGCTGCCCAACACTCTTACACCATTTTTTCCTTCTGAGTCTCATGCCATTAACTATTGCCTCTTTTCTTTGAATTTTTGAAGTCTTACTGACCTTCTTTGTTACCCTAAACTCCAAAATGACATAGTAACTCTCTCTGAATGTTCCTATCAATTTTCATTTCACCAACTATTTTTTTCTTCTTGGTCAGAATTAGGTCCAGAGTTGAAGTTCCCCTAATTGCTTCCTCTACCATCTGGGAGATAAAATTGTTACCAAAGTAAGTCAAGAACCTGTCGGGTGCCCTACTTTTAACCAAATGAGACTTCTTCTAGCAGATATCTGATTGGTTGACACCTCCATCACCACACTTTCTTGCTTCTGTATGTGTATTGTGTTGTGAAAAGGATGTATCATCTATATCTTCCATCGAGCTGAGCAGTCTGTTCTGTACTCCCCAACCATTAGCAGTTCTATTGTTCTTTTCTTTCTCCTTCACTCACAAGCTCTTAGCATGTTTCTACCCCAGACTCATGAGTTTCCACGTGGATGTATGTTTTCTTGGCCAGTACTGCTACTCTGCCTCTCCAGCTAAGAATATTACTTGATAGGTAAATAAAGCTAATAGCAAATTAGGTCCACCCTGTCTTGAATTCCCAGCCCACCAACTGTAATCTTCCCAGTGATTCCTCTAATACTGTATCTACCATTTAGTATAATAATCTTGATTTTTTACCTTATTATCCTTGAACCATATTATCTACTGGCATCTGAAGCCTTAAGTATTGTTTCCCGATGCCTGTCCCAGGTAGTTCTCCAGTGACTCATGGGCAGTGTTCGCATCATTACTGTTCTTTCCCAGTCTTATCTACTGCCGCCCCCCCCTTACTCCCTACCCCATGTAGCTTTGTTTTCTGGGTACTTTTCTCCCTGCCTCACCGCTGGTTAAAGCCCCACTGGTTAATTCTGTCTGAAAATGGAGGGATTAAATAATATATAAGATCCCTCCTCAAGGCTAAATTGAATGAATAATCCCAAATCTCACAATAGCAGATTCCTTTTCCTAGCTTATTATTACAGTGGATGAATAGTAGAATTAACATTTGCTTTCACTTTTTATTTTCTCTACCGTGGTCAGATGAAGGTTCTGATAAGTAGGGAAGTGACCACAAAGGAGGCAGTGGAGGAGGAAGAAGGCACAGGTATCTGTGCAGACCAGGACCTGTGTGGCCTGCTCTGGCCTACCACTTCCCTTGTATATTCCCTTTCCTTGGTAGTAGATTGTTCCTTATATAACTTGAAGGGTTTAAGTTTCTAAGAATTCCCCTCATTTGTAGTCACCTTTCTGGTTGGAAGGGTTAAATGAGATGATATATGTTACGTGCCTGGTACAGTGCTTAATAGACCTTAAGCAGCAAATGATGCTTCCTCTACCAGCTGGGTGATAAAATTGTTAACACTGCTAAGTCAAGAACCTGTTGGTGTCTTACTTCTAACCAAATGAGATTTCTTCTAGCAGATATCTGGATGACTGATGTTCCCATCTATTTATTATTGCTAAAGGCATGATATTTAACTCTTGTTAGCTACTGAAGCCAAATCACATTTGAACTCTTCAGAAATGACACTGCTGTGGGTTCTTCTAGTATTCGCTGACGTAGAAAATCAGTGCTAGTTGTAATGAGATATTGAAGCACTGCTTTTTTCTATGAGTAACTTCTTGATTTAGTGAACTTATTATTCTGAAAAAATACTTAGAGAATCTGTGTTTAGTAAACAGAAATCAATTTGCATAGAGCCTCTAACTTTGTGCGTTGGAAGATTTTTAAAAGCTATTATCATTGCTATCACTACTTGACATTTAATGAGCATGTATCACATGCTGGCTACTGTACTGAGCACTTTACATGCATCTCTTTACTTAACCTTCACAACATTATGAAAAAATGGATTCCATGTTGTGTTCTCCACTAGGGAGGCAGAGTAATAACTTGCCCGAAAGTGACACTAATAAGGGGCAGAGTTCATTCATGTCATGAGCCCTATGCTTCTAACATTACACACCCTCCCTCTCAAGCTCAAGTACAGATGTTTCTTTTGTACCATTATTTTGTGTCCACAACCACAAACAGGGTGCATGAACCAGTTGGCCACTCTGCATGTTTTGGCGTAACTCCTTGCCCTTCTGCATGCCCTCCTCCAGCTATCATGATGTCCTTGGACTTATAATTGATGGTGGCTATTATCTGAATGGACAGGTGTGCAACTGCTTATATTCTCTTGGCTGAAGAGGAAGCTACAACCATTGCTGAAGCAGAAAAACTGTTTAAGCAGGCTCTGAAGGCTGGAGATGGCTGTTACCGGCGTTCTCAGCAGCTGCAGCATCATGGATCCCAGTATGAAGCCCAGCATAGTAAGGTTTCCTCTAGGTTGACATGTTGGGGGAGCATAATTGCAACATGACTCAACAGCACAAACTGTTAGGCTAGTTCAGAAGGGTTCTCCAACCCTTCTGACTTTCTCTTTTTTTGTTTATACATTTTTTTTCTTTCCTATGAGGCCATAGTACATAATTTTCATATAGTTTCATTATTCTTCACATTTATGGATAGATTCTCTTTCCTGGCATAGAAACAAATGTATAATATCCTTCAATGGGACCCTTTTTTCACCCCAGAATCGTTACATATTTCTGTTTAGTAGTTGCTTCTCTGACCAGTAGCTTTAAGACACCTAATTTGGAAACAGGATTTAATTAGTGTTAATGTTGTTAAAGGTTTTATTTTATGGATGTTATACAGCATGGGTATAAGAAATAGGACAATTAAGAATATACCAGTTATCAGTGACTGTCTCAGTATTTAACAATCATGGATTTAGTCTTCCAGATAGAAAGAATACCTAATTATTTATCCTTTTTTTAACATTTAAAATAATGACTTTTATTTCTGATAATGCTTTAAAAAGACATCTTTCATTTCATACTAATGTGAAAGTCAGTGAGACTTTGGGGGAATTGTATAAAAAAATATGACAACAGAATCATTTCTGGAATTCCCTAAGCCTCTGGACTTGTCAGTTTGTTGGTTGTTTAAACAGAAATTTAGTGGTTCTTTTGGGAGGGAATGTTTTCATAGTAAAACCAAACATCCAGTTGTTTTTAAGGTGGAATTTCTCTCACCTCATTTCTCTCTCCTGCATCTTGGAGTGTATCTCCTTCATATTTGGGATTACATATCTAAATTTTCATGTTAAACTGGAGTTGGTGCAGAAATTGAGGGTATTACTCCCTGTAACTAAGTGTGGTGAGGTCTTTGCATTATAGCCAATGTGTCCATAAGCATTTCCACACAGCCCCAGCATACACAGGTTGTGTTTTTACTTTATAGTGACTATATATGTTAATCAAGTCTTTAATCACCTCTATATTTGATTTTTTGGGAAACAAGGTTACAACTGAATTTTGCAGACCTGTGTAGTAACTATCTGTTTTTGCGAACTGAGGATTAATACATAATTACATACCTTGTAATATAACTTAAATATTTTTCTCTATTTCTTTTCTTCTGTAAATTAAATCCTTTCAACCTATTGCCTACATCTATCCAAAAAATATAATCACATCTTTAAAATAATTTGTAGGCACTTGGCAAATTTTCAGCACACATCTTGTTCTCATTGTTTAAAATTTGAAATGTTAGGACTTTGGTCTTAACATCTTTTAATAGCTGCATATTATACATGTACTTAATCTATAACAGGTGTGTCATATTTTCTTAAACATGGTGATTTTATTGAGGATTAAGCACATATATGTTCTCACTGGCCTGGAAACACATCCAAAAAGACAAATAATTAAGTATCAGATTAAGATGAGAAATTGTTAATGTACTTTTTAAGAGCCATTTTAGTGACTATTGTTATAACTATTTAGCTTGTCAGTGCTTTCTCTAACACCAGGGTAGTTTTTCATTTTGTTGCATACTCTATTGTCATATCTGGAATGTGTTATATTGCCATCTAAAATCAACTGCTTTGGGGACCTGGAGATGATTATGATGTCACTAGTGTTAGGGAAGGAATAATATAAAACAGAAGTTCAAGATGAGGCTTCTCTGGACTTAATGTCAAAAAGGAAAAAAAAATAGTTCATCAGGATGCAACCTGAGATTCACCTCTTTGCATCTTTACCAAAAGCATGCACATTTGAAGAATGTGGAATTCTTGCTTGTAAACTGCATGCAATGTGGATATGTTCATTTCCCCAGCACTTAGTGGCAGTTGATTTTATTTATCAAATGTTCAACAACCTAACTCGAAAGTGTGGTTTAAGTGATCAGTCACATGATTTGATGTTTGGAGGTCTAAGTATTTGACTTCACTTTGTACATGTTCTTCTGTTATCAAGGTTGTCAGTGCTCCTGGCAGTAAGGAGAAGCTGAAGGGGTGTCTGTTCTTGCTGAAGTTTTCCTTTAAAAGTGTGGCAAATGGATCTTTATACTTCTTGCTGCTCATCTGAAAGCTTTTGTATTTTTTACAATTTCGGTGTTTTCTGTCTCCCTCTTCAGGACGAGACACCAATGTCTTGGTGTACATCAAAAGAAGGCTAGCAATGTGTGCCAGAAGACTCGGGAGGACAAGGGAAGCAGTGAAAATGATGAGAGATGTGAGTTGGAATTTGTGTTTGGGAACAGTGGTGCTGCCCTCGATGGAGAGGACGCTGCTGTGGGACCATAGCAGAAAGTACTGGTGATGGTGTGGTGGTCCTTTGGGAGCCAGCTCATCTGGGGTTCAACTTTCACCCCCAACTAGATAAGTAATCTTGAGCAAGTTATCCAGCTTCTCTGCACCCTCAGTTTCCACCTGTAAAATGGGGATAACCATAAATTTTAACACGAGCATCTACTGCTTAGGATTGTTGCAAAGATAGGTGAGATAACACATACAAATAACTTAGTAGAGTGACTGGTATATTAAATAAATCTCAATAGATGCCCTTGTTTTTAAACCCGTGCAACTACAGCCAGAAGCCAAGAATCAGCCATTTCAGCTGATTTTTTCTGTCTGTAGTTACTAGTGACTTTTCCTGTGTGTCATTATTAGGAAAATTTGTAAGAAACTGTACTGATGCTACCCTTAAATTTAATAACATTTTCATCTAATCTTATTATATTCATTTTGGGCATTCTAGATTCTTGAATCAGGATTTTTCATAGAACATAAAAAGGAAAGAAGTGAATTTTTAAAACAAACAGAACTAAGGGAGGTTATTATGATGCAAATTTCAATCAAACCACTGGTTTTACTTTCACTTTTTTTAAAAAAAAGATTTATTTATTCATATAGAACTGGGGTAGGCCAGAGATGCGGAGGGTGAGAGGATTCACCAGAGACAGAGCGGGGAGCAGAACAGGCAGATGGACGAAGTACACTGCTGAGGGGAGCAGCTGGCGGGTCAGGAGAGGTCTGCCTCGCCATGTGTATCTCTTTCGGGGCAAGCGGGAATCGAACTCATGTGGAAGTGGCTCAAGCCTCTCAGTGCTGCGCTTTAACCCGCTGTGCCACCAGGGAGGGCCCATGTTCACATTTTTTAAAAATAAGAAATACTCTCCATGAAGAAATTGACCCCACTGAGAATTACATTTATAAGTCATGTTCTTTTTTACAACAATCTCAGAAAACCTTTATGAACTTTTCAATCTTCTGTTTTCTCCCTGAACTATGAGACATAGGTAACTGCCATTATAAAAATAAAAGAACCAAGGGACAAAGAGCAAAGTGACCCAATCTCTGCTTTTGGATTTGAGAATGGGACTGTGTAAACCCGTTCTACCTTTTCTCAGTCTGTCTCTGGAAGGGCAGTTCTTCATGTGAATTCCCACTTACCCTTTAGAGTCAAGGAGCTGTCCTCCAGCCCCATTTGTGTTTGATTTTTGTAATTTATAGTGTAATGTGAAGGCCCAACTGAGACCCAGGCATGAGTTCTGGCTACTTCATCAAATAGCAGCTTAGTCCTGAGACCCAGAGAGAGGAACAAGAGGAGGAGGACTCCAGGATAATTCTATTTGACTGAAGGTGATTGATGCTCCTGAGACAAAGCCACTGTGGAGGGATCCCCAGGATTAAATTCTTTTGGTTAAAAGAAGAATTTAAAGAATGTTTGTTATATAAGTGCTAATTCTTAAAAAAGATTTTTGCAGAGACATGAATTTGCTGTTGAGTTTTTTAAACTGGCAGAAATTCCATCCTTTGATATAATGAAGAAATTCAACCAGCCCCTTTGGCTCTGAAAGAATAGAAAATTTCATGAAGATGGGCCACTTTTCTATCTTAACCACAATCGCCCACCTTCATCCTTTAAAACGGTCTTATATTTACTGCCTCCTCTTCTTAATCTTGATTAGCCTCAGCTAGGCATATGTAAAGGAGTTGATTTTGGAAATTTTCTTTATCATATGCTCAAGCAACGTCATAGAAAAAAGAAAATCAAATAATTTTAATTCTGCTTTTCCCTCATTCTTTTTGTGATAATCATTATTTATTGGGTGTGTGTAAAATCTCAGGTGGTTGATACCATTATACTATGGTTTGGTTTTTGTTTAGTTATTTTATATTTGCAATTCCATTTATTGGTCTATAACAAATATAATCTTGGGAGAAATCTGGGGATGCGTGCAGTAAATGCTTGGATTTCAGAAAACTTGGATGTGAGTCAACTTTGCTCTTTACTAGCATTATACCCAGACAACTAACTTCTGTTCACCTTCCATGTATTGGGATAGTGATTCTTGCCTAAAGAGCATTTGAAGGAGCAATGTGGAGAAATTAATTGAGATAATGTGAAGACATCTGACATACAGTAGACATACAACCTCCACCCTGTTTTTTCCCATTATATAAGTTTGCCTTAATTTGCTCTCATTCCCCTAATTGGCACTTGGCAATATTTCTTACTTCTTTTTCTTGAATGAGTCAGTCAAGCAGTCTCTCATTTTCTCTTCCTGTGTATATATGCCAATATATATTCCTGTGTGTATATGCACATCTGTATATGTGTGTACCTATATTTATTGTGTGTGTGTGTGTGTGCGTGCGCTTTTCTTTAAAAATCCATTATATTATTACAGCTCCAATACATATGGCCTTTTAACTAAGGTTATTAGGGTTATGGAGAATTCAGTAGATGTGAGGCCTCCTGGTGTAACAGACCTGTGGGAGACACTGTCACACATAACAATATGCTTTGAAGAGAATTGCAATGCTCTTCTCTTTAGCAACTCTTTTCTCATTCCTGGCACCCCAACTGGAGGAGGAGAGGTTGAGAAGTCCATTCACTGTTAAGGCTGCAGCTGGTCCCAGCTTCGTAGGAGACAGTTATTGGTGGGGCCTGGCTCCTCTCAGGTCACAGGTCATGCACGCATGGGGATTTCACTGAGGGATTCACTCCTTTAACAACAAGCACATAAACCATCTTGCTGGAAAGCTTCCTCTGATAAAACAGCACACTGGATTCCAGGCAGCCTGCTGATAAAGCATTTAGGCAGGAGGATCTAATTTTTCATTAAGACACATCCTCTCCCCATATGCATTGCTTGAAACTTTCCTAAAGCAGATTTTAAAGTGGAAGTAGAAATGCTAGAGTTAGAATGCCTTTTATATAGAATGTAGATGCTTTAAAACACTTCTCTGAAAACCCCTTCAGGAAGGAAAAATTGTTAATGGGTGAGATACCCTGAAAGAGAATAAATGGGAATGCCAGAAGGACCAGCTGTAGATGATTATGTAACTCATAAAATATTGACAGTGTAAGTAAAATATTAATGAGGTAAGAATACATGCACCCCATAGAAGAGTCATGTTTTTTGTTTGTTTGTTTTTTTAAAGCAACACATTATTTTGAATTTGCAAGATCCCCTTTTTAAAAAAACTTACTTTAATTAACTTTTTTGTTTTCAATCAAGAACACAGAAGCACCTTAATGTTGAAGGAATGTTTTGGCAGTGGCTAGAGCTAAACGAACATGCTGGCTTTGAACTTTGTTTTAAGGTGTTATTCAAAATGGGGGGAAAAAAGGGCATTTGCTACTTTCTTCATTTAAAAAGAAATCTTTTTACTTATTCTTACATTTGGTAACTTTGCTTCTTTAACATATGATATATGAAACAACTTCTTAATTTCTTTTTTTTTTTAAGATTTTATTTATTTATGCATACAGAACTAGAGTACAGGCCAGAGGTGCAGGGGCTGTTAGAGAATTCAGCAGAGACAGAGTGGGTAGATAGACAAAGTATACTGCTAAGGGGAGCAGCGGGTGGGTCAGGAGAGGTCTGCTGCACCATGTGGGTCACCTCAGGGCTGGGGATCGAACTCGCACTGAAGCAGACATGGCCAGCTTTGCAGTGCTGTGCTCCAACCTGTTGCACCACCCGGGAGGGCCAATTTCTTTAACTTTCACTATTTAGTGAGCCTCAAGTTTTTCTTCTTTCTCTTGCTCCATTTGAGATTTGGAGTAGAATTTATGAAGCTGACTGCTCTGACTCTCTAACTGTACCTGGTCATTACTGGTAAATAAACCAGTGTAGATGGGATTGTTTGCCTGTATGTAAGAACTCAAAACCCCTCTTGCTCCAGGTTTTTGCTCTTGAGTGAGATTTCTCAATCTCAGGACTCTGATACTGGGAACTACATAAGTCTCTGTTGTGTGGCTTTACTGTGCATTGTCTTAGCCTTGGCCTCCACCCAGTAGGTACCAGTAGCAGCTGTCCATTTATCTCTCTCTCATGTGACGATCAACAACTTTACTAAATATGTGGGTGGGGGCAAAAGTATGCCCCACTAAGAACCACTGGCCTAGAGAATCCTCAAAGTGAGTAGATCCGTTTCAAGGTAGGCATTAGGTGTTTAGTCTTTCTGTTTATATGAGTTTCTCTACTCTGGAGCTTCCCTAGAATTGAATAGTGCCCACAAAGATTTTATATCCTAATACAGTCACTTTCACAGATACCAAGGGTGAGCCCTCAGTGTATTTTTTTAGAAGGCACAATTCAAATCCATAATACCAACTCATATTGTAAACACAGCTTGTATTTGTAAAAACAAAATATAGATAATATATATATATATATATGTTCTTTTTTTTTTTTTTAAGATTTATTTATTTGTACATACAGAACTGGTGTACAGGCCAGAGGCTCAGGGGTGGTGAGAGGCTTTACCAGAGACAGAGTGGGGAGCAGAACAGGCAGATCGACGAAGTACACTGCTGAGGGGAGCAGCGGGCGGGTCAGGAGAGGTCTGCCACGCCATGTGGTCTCCTCCGGGGCAGGCGGGAATCGAACTCATGCGGAAGTGGCTTTAGCTTCTCAGTGCAGTGCTTTAATCCGCTGCGCCACCAGGGAGGGCCTATTTGTTCTTTTTTTAAAAAAGATATTTATGCTTACAGAACTGGGATACAGGCCAGAGGTGTGGTGGGTGAAAGGATGTACCAGAGGCAGTGGGGAGCAGAACAGGCAGATTGACAAAGTACACTGCTAAGGGGAACAGTGGGTGGACCAGAAGAAGTCTGCCACGCCATGTGGGTCACCCCCCTGGCTGGGGATCAAACTCATGCTGCAGTGGCTTCGGAAAGCTTCATAATGCCATGCTTTAACCCGTTGCACCACCAGG